ATGTTTGTTTTTTATAACTTTTAATTGTATTTATGTTTTTAGTGTGTTGTAAGCCGCCCAGAGTCCCCCATTGTGGGGAGATGGGCGGGGACAAGTTAAATAAAACAAATAAATAAATAAATCCCTTCTCCGCATATTGCCATTTTCTGCATATCTTGAGATTTCTCATTTCTTCTTTCTAGTGTGCAGAACAGTTAGCATTTCAGAGAAAGCTGGATTTTAGAATTTAGACATTTATGAAAGCTTACATTTGGCTTCCAGGAGTTAATGACAACTTGCTTAAATCATTGTTAAGGTGTGCGCAATCATTTATTCCAATTGAGCACTATCTGGATTCTGATGACCAAGTAATCAGTTCCTTTATCCCGCTAGAGCCATACCGATGCAGCTCTTTTAAAAGTTTGCTCTTCTCTCCTAATATTATTGTAACCCACAGGATATAAATGTAATTAAATAAATACTTTTAGACACAAAAGGATATCTGTTTATTCCTCAGAATTAGATGCCTTCTAAGGAGTCATTTCCCTGTTTGCTGATCGTCCTCTTTGCAGCCTGCATTGTCCTTCTGGAAGCATGACATTGTTTACCATATTACTTTAGGTGACAGCGATTTAAGAATCTGGCAGAAGCTTTTATAAAACACAAGCTCTTTATTTATTGCTTTTACCACTTCACTGTATACTATTGTGCTAAGTGACTGCCTGATAGTTAGTTTTCTCAGTACGTGTCATAAAGCATCTTTCCTATCTGCCACCCTAACTTTTTCATATAGTTCTTTGTATATTGCAACAGAAGAACTTGTCCACTAACTCCTGTATCTTACCTTAAGTAGACTTATATCAGATTGCACTTTAATTATGTTGTGAATTTAAGCAGGTTGCCTGAAGAAGACTTATTTACTGTTCAAGGTTTTACCAAGCTACCAAATGAACGGATATAATAAGAGTATAATCTGAGCTAACATTAATAATGTTAAGCTATGCCTGAGGATAAACTGAAGCAATTTAACTTGATTTGAATAATTCATAGTTTTGTTTAACTGCAGCATGTATTAGTGGCAGCAATACAGCAAGCGTTAAGTGTACCTTGTAAAAATAAATATAACCTATTGCAAACTTGATTAGGAAATGTTGCCTTAGTAAATGTATTGCAGCTCTCAGCTAACATGACTAGCATGTAGCATGTGGTTTAATGCAGGATTTGCACTTTCCCTGGTAATTTGTTTCTCTGACATATTTAACAGAAGCTGGCTGTTTTTTTTGTCAAATTCCATTCACTGTAGAATTCAGCAGTGTACTGTTACTTGCTCTTTTTTATTCCTATTATATGCAGAACAGAATGTAAGATTCTAATAGCATTCACCTCTTGGCTACATCCAGGCAAATAAACTTCCAAGGTCTGTCCTGAAAGTTGTTTTAAGTATAGTATATTGAATTTCAGAGAGACTTTCCATAAATATTTACAGGACACATCATACTCTGTAGTAATGAATTGAACATGGCAATCCTATGATTAAATAAAAGGGATTAAAGTTATAAAACCATTTGTTATGGTTTCATTTGTCATTTGGTTGTGCATGTTACTTAGGTTATCCCTTTTCCCAAGGTTCTTTCCCAAGATTTTCTAGGTGTTTTAAGGCATTTTAAATTTAACATGTTAATATATACCTTTCAAAGGAGCATTACTTTAGCAAAAGAAAAGGTCTTCACACTGACTGCTGACATTCAAGTAATGCTATAAGACAGTCCAGCAAAGTTTAACAGTTTTATGTCAGATTGATGTCAGCAGGAAAGGGAGAAGTATTCTGAATACTTAATTCTCCCATTGCCAAGAAGACAATCTAAAAGATGATTAGAGTCTATTGTGGACTCAAGTCTTTTGTTCTCCAATTAGCCTTTGCTAATTTTTACTGATAACAAGCTTCTGTGAGAGCTCAACCCTCTCCATTTTTCTTGGAATTGAGAATCATAATTACAAGATGATTTCCAAATAAATATGCTTAGGTAATTATTTACTAGAATTATTTAGAATCTATGTTCAGGTTGCACTTAGGAGAGATAATATATAATGTCCTTTACTAGGAAACTTACTTACTCACTCACTCACTCACTTATATGCTGCTTCAGTTGCAACTGACCTCAGTGTATTGACTTGCTAATTAAACCCAGAGCTACATGCTTGTCATTTATGATGGCAAGTTAAAACTAACTTTTCAAGCACAGCAAATCTATATTTGATTTAAAGTTTGTACAGTTTAAATTCATTTTCAGGAAGCAATCCTTTGGGGTTCAGTAGGCATCAGCCCTGGACCTGAGACATCTTCCTTAATGAAATGGGCAGCGCAACCATCCCAGGGGACCCACTGCAAATGACTGAGGGGACAGAGTACATATTAAACAATGTTCTCACCATAGTGGAGAAACTCCTGAACAGAAAAGATTCAACACATTGAAATGTAATATAATACAAAACAGAGAAAGAAAGATCTCAAATGCTAAGCATAAAGAAGGAAAGAAGTGACTGGCAGATCATATTTTGGGGGGAAATGTTAATGTTATCTGGGTTGCAGAGTGAATCTGAATTGCCAGCAAGGGGCCATACCATCATCAGTTATTGCTGTTGTAGGTTTTTATTGCAGGATTGTTAGATTCTTTAGCATAAACTGAATGGTATATACTTCAAAAATACATAGGGGAAATTATCCTTGGGACTGTAAGCTTGGGGGAAGATTTGAGCTCTAACCCTAAATTCTGAGTACTCCCTGAAGTAGGATGTCAGCAAGTTTGAGAAGAGCTTCACTGATCTGAGTATTTCAGAATTCTTAAGTACTTATTATGCTCTTAGAGATTATAGTAGAATTTCTCCAGGGCTGATCTTATATGTGTCACATTTTGATTCGATGGTTAATATTGACAGGGCCAAAACCTACCTAGGAACAGAAGAGGCTAAATCCATCACGTGTTCTTTTTCCATTGGGAGATTACAATTATCAGTGCTGTGTCTACAAATGCCCACTATGCAGAAATCATATTTATTTTCTTTATAAAGATATTTTATATAAAACATTTTTCAGGAATGTTCTTGTCATAGTTTTTCAAACTTTGTTTCTATCTTTCTTTAATAGTCAGAGCTATCTGCAAGCTACAAGTGAAGTGCCTGGTGGCCATACCCTGGATCCTTCGGCAAACTACAATTCCCCTAAGTTTCGATCAAGGAATCAGAGCTATATGAGAGCAGTAAGCACACTCAGTCAGGCCAGCTGCGTTAGCCAGGTTGGATTTTTTTTTCCTCTTATGCATTTTACAATAATATTAATAATTATAGAGTATTTTTTAAACAAATTCAGGAGTTTGACCACATATCCCCAGGCTTATAATCAATAATTTCATATTTTATTTCAGAGGTAATTTAGAGAAATTAAATTTGGAATAATTCCAAATCAAATAAAGGGAATATTAATGGCTTAATATATTTCAACATATTCTAAAAGAAAATATTGAACTAAAGCTACTGGTTATTTTCCTAAGCTGAGAGCTTTGTTTACGTGCAGTTTAATAATTTTTTGTAATAGAAAGCAGAAGAGTCTTGGGCTACTTACATACTGTAGTTTGTAAATAGTAGTGTTCAATGATTTTACATATACACCTTACAAAAACAGTTCCTAAGTCAAAAAAATAATTTGTAGACACCAATTATCTGATCCATCACTATATATTTTATGGCAAATACTTTATTTCTTTGACATCATATATGAGAAATAAACCACTGAGTTAATACATCCTAAAGTCAGTGCTTACATTGCACTGAGAGTAATTTGCAAAATATGATTATAATTAGGAATAATTAGTTTGCACTCATTTATACTTCAACTTATAACTACAAAGAAGCAGAAAAATAAATGATTAACTTCTTCTTTTTTTTCGTAACTACTTTAAGAAAAAATTGAGTTGGAAATATAATGGGAATGGTCAGCCTATGGGCCACATGAATTCCGCAGCCCCATTTTTGCAACTATAGTATCTGAATCTAGCCCAATATTGCATAGGTAAAATTTGGGAATAAACCATATAGTTTCAGTGGTGTAATTTTTCACTTTTTAAAGGAAACCCCAAGTTAAAATCGATTCATCGTACCTTTGCAGGCATAAACTACATACATTGCCTTTACTCCCAGATCCAAAAGAGATTAAAAAGACCTGCCCCACCCAGTGACATCCTGCAGGCATGTTCCTCCACTCCTTGTTTGGTTTTAAAGAGAATCCTATTTCTGTTCTAGAGGATGGTTCTCTGGAACCTGAAGCCACTTAATGTTAAATTTTGATGCTTCTGGCTTTGGTATGTCTTTCTATTTAGGTGTGGAAAGTTTAAACTGGAGCAAGAATTTTTTATTCATTCAATCACTTTCCATGCAGCCTTGCTTTGTAGTTGTTACTTCTGAGTTGTAACAGTGAATTCCAACAGTTCCATTTGTGATTGCCCACCATTATTGTAATAGGCTTAATTGAAATACCTATAGTTAGGAAAATCTGAGCAACATGGGAAGGTGAAAGATTCTTACCAACCTTATGCAGCTCTTCCCCATGTACAAGAGTCCCAGTGGCTACTAGTAGTATAGAGACTATAGCCGGTTTCCAGTGCTGTAAATATATAGAGCAGGTTTTACAGAGCCAGAAGATAATAGAGAGGACTGGCTGCTGCCCAACCAGCAATCCAGCATCTCCTCCTCCTCCTTTCTTTTACAAGGCTAAACAGAAAATGCAGTCAGCACCTTTCTAGAATCTTGTGCTGTATACAGTGACTACTGCCTTCTGCCCTCTGGGACACCATTCTGTCTGAAATTCATATGGACCCCTCCCTGGCCCTGTTTAAACAAGCCCTTAAAACCCGGCCTTATTTCCAGGACTTGGGATAGAATGGGTGGTAGACCTGTTATGGGATGTTTTGTTTTTTTTTTTTTTTAACTGATCGTGTTTTATTTTTTCCCTCTGGGTTTTCTTTTGATGCTATTTTGGTGCTTTTATTGTATTTTGTAAGACAGACAAAGTCATAACAAATTGGGGCAGAAATCAGTCAAACAGTCAGTCACTGGTCCTCTTGAGTTATATGACCTCATAACAATCTTGTATTATTAAATATTAGAAGAGGGAAAGGAAGTATAGCCTGATAATTCATTTTCAGTCATATTCCAATTATGGCCAGGGGATTATGTCCACCAAGGAATGTCCTACATCCCCACTTGGTCATGTAGTACTTGGAACCGGTTCTGTTTTGTAAATAAGACTAGTGTCAGGCCTACAAGGTAGACCAGACTAAGAAACCAATACCATATAGGTCAGGACTATTTTTACAGCTTTAGTAACAAAGTCTTGCAAGTCTGAATATACTTCCCCCTCCCTCCCTTTATCTTCATGTGAACCAGCAACAGGCTTGTCTGAGAGTTTTCTCAAGTTATTTTCCTGGCCCCTGCTCAAGCCCTGCTTATCTGACCATTGCCTTGGTAGCGACTCTTCTTCCTGTCCTTCAAGGCCATCCCCTATATCCTCTAGTGTGACAAAAGAGATGGTTATGCCCACATGGCACTTGGAGTTTGCTAGGTACATCTCTTACCACTTCTGCAGAAAACTAGAGGACAATACAAGCTGAGGGTAATGCAGATTTGATAGAAGCCCTTCTTCCCCAGATGTTCCTCATCATATGCATTCTTTGTACCTCTATAATGCATCCATCTATGCTGCAGAAGAGGATAATATACCATTTTTGCTCTCCCCTTCAACAGAAAACAAAGATCCTTTCTGCTAGCAGATTGGGTTTGCAAGTAAAGAAATAAGACATTCCTCTTCATCATACTTATATTTGTGCTAGCCATCTTTCTTTCTTAATATATCTTTGTTTATATAAGGCTATTCAAAATGAGAATGTTTGTCTTTCCAGAGTACATTTAATATGATTAGAATTTATTTATTTATCAAATTTGTATGCTGCCCAACTCCCTATGACTCTGGGAGAATTGAAATAATAATTATAAGCATTGAAAATAATTATTTTCAGACTAATTTTATTATGGAGGTGTATTTATGGAACATGACTTTATATATTCTGTGTGGATAGATACACCTCACTGAAAGTATTTAATTAAAAAATACAATACATATTTAATCAACTTGTCCCCCTCCCCCTTCATTTTGGCATAGTTCAAGCAGCATTACTGGGGTGGGGAGCTAAGTGCCAGCAGTCAGAACTGCTGATGGGCATAGCTGTCAACTGGACTACAGTCAAGAAAAGAAATGGGAGACTGGTGTCTCTTCAGATGTTGCTGAATTGTACATCCAGCAGCCCTATCTGGCTTGGTGGAAGTGTTGTTCAACAATATCTAGGTCAGTGTTTCTCAACCTTGACAACTTTAAGATGTATGGACTTCAACTCCCAGAATTCCCCAGCCAGCCATGAGAATTGAAGTCCACACGTCTTAAAGTTGTCAAGGTTGAGAAACACTGATCTAGGTTGTCACAGGTTCCCTGCCCTGGTCTAGGATTTCCCATGAAACAGACACTTTTTTATTTATTTATTATTAAATTTGTATGCCGCCCATCTCCCCCAACGGGTGACTCTGGGCAGCTCACAATTGAAATCAAAAACCCATAAACAATTAAAAATACCCTATAAATAATTAAAATTAATTAATCCATTAAAAATCAACTGTAAAAACAAACCCTATACATAAATACTAATAACATTTAAACAATTAAAAATACCCTATAAATAATTAAAATTAATTAATCCATTAAAAATCAACTGTAAAAACAAACCCTATACATAAATACTAATAACATTCAAAATGACTGGGGGGGGGCAAAATCAATTACCCCACAAGCCACATCCACTGGTGCGAGCCCCCATCTAGCCCCCAGGCCTTCTGGAATGGCCAGGATTTCACACCTTTCCTGAAGGCCATGAGAACGGGGGCACACTGCACCTTGGGAGGTAGGTTGTTCCACAGAGCAGGGGCCGGAGCAGAAAAGGACTTCTTCCTAGATCCCATCAGTCGAAATTCCTTGACTGGTGGGGTCTGCAACATGCCCACTCGGTCTGAACTGATATAACAGGGGCAAGACAGCTCCTCAGATAACCTGGTCCTGTGCCATGAAGGGCTTTAAAAGTGATAACCAACACCTTGA